CAGAAACGGTGGTTCGAACTTCGAACCCCGCCATCTATGGACTACTATGGGGAGCCCACTCGCAACACAAGCTTAATAGGGTTAAATGGACTATTTTAAAATGCTTCTAACTTTTCCTATTATTCTTTCTCTTCATCTTCCTCTCTTCTATTCAACTCTTTGCAAATCTTAAGTCAGTTTAACTTTCTTCTGCGACTAACATACGAGTAGCCTTCACTGGTTTTTATTGTATAACAAGGCAGGCATTTGACTACCATCGCACCTGGTGTTAAGTGAGATGCAGTCTAAGATGGTACATGTCTGCCCTGTAAGTGCCTATTCACTCTCGCCTTGAAAAGGCCCGGATTATAATGTTCAGGAAAGACAGCAGCAGGCAGCGAATTCCAGTCCCTAGCTGTTCGCATTATAAAAGAGTTATCGAAACGCTTAGTGCGAGCTGGTGGAATACCTTACTCTCAAAATAACATCCAAAATAAGTTATAGTCAATGAGATTTCCCAGCGTTTTCTGAAATGAAGTTACACCATTGAAAGCTCAACATTGCGAAATCAGAGCTTTTATGAAAGGCTTTTATACCGCCTATTTGATTTTCCTCGATTCTGAACACGACTTTTTAAATTCAAGCAACAAATTCAGAATTTAATTATGTTTCAATAGATTACGCGTGAGGAATTGAGTGTATTGAATGCTTAATCTTGTGGAGTGCTTAATTTATTTAAAATGTTTTGAGTTTTGTAGGATTCGGTAGTCTTATAATTTATCAGGCTTTTTAGTTATTTGTATTCAACAAAGAACTGTACGATTTATTAATCTCAACTCACGCTTTTTATGTATTTTCTTATGTATCTACTTCGTTTTAATTTTGGTAAGCATTGAATCAATCATATTAATTGATTTATTATTTGACTAGGGTATTCAACTGTCAAATAAACGATAGTAAATGTAATTTTTTTCATATTGTGTAAAAGCGCTTTTCAAAAGTCCCATTGAAAAAAAATCTTTGATATTACTTAAGTTTGTGAATTATACTCATCATAAAGTCATCTGGAAAATACTTGTACCTAAGTCTAGTGGTTCTTCTCCACTGTTATTATTCGCTTGAACACGAATATAGTGATAGACTCGAACAGACAGTATGACTTGATTATTTTTTGTATTAGCTACCAATTTCATAAGTATCACTCTAAATACCCTTCAATTTTCAAGTTTGGCTTAGTTCTTCGGCACAAACAATTTGCTGAAAGTTTTTTATTTTTATTTTTTATTTTATTTGTTTAACAATGTTTCAACAGCATTAAATTGTACATAAATGTGCAGGAAGATACAACTTGAACATAAGCCAATTAAAGAAACACATTCTATTACTAAAACATTTTTAAATAAGTTAACGTGGGTAGGTAGGTGAACACTAAAACAATTCAAAACTAAGTAAGCAAATTACATGTGAACTGGGTGTGAAATTCCGAGTTACTAATCAAATAATAATTACTTATGTATTTACATAAACTTTATAAATGTGAAAATAAATATTATAAATTAAATTAGACTAAATTAGATTAAAGTAAAATCAACAATAAAAATTATTGACAAAAAGTGAAAAATATTTGAGTATTGAATGATCAAACGAACTTACCAAGTGAAGTTCGATCTAAATTATCCTGTTTTCGCCGAAGAGATTTAAGNGTATCCGGTATCCGGCCAAACAACTATCCGTTTCATCTCTAATTATTACTAAAACTTTTGGTTTAAAAATCAAGTTGTTTATTGAGATAAGAAAAACTTCAGCGGTTGTCAAGTCTCCTCTCTTTCAACGATTGTTGAATTTGCTTGTATATCCTGACTCTTATTTGACCCCTTTAATGTGCCATGCATGGTCAAGAGAGTTGTTACTTACCAAGATTTTATTGTGTGTGTTAAGCCATTACTGTTAAGCCATTTCGTCATTCCGATTGAGCCACGTCAGACACGATAGCTAAGAACGAAAGCCTTAAGTTGGTGCCTGGTGTTTTTTTTACACTTCTGCTAATATGTAGTGGTAATATGATTTATATAATCTGTCTCTACAAAACATAAAATAAGGTGTTGACACAATACATTCACTGGTATAATACGTAGTTGTTTCGTCAACGCTCGTAGTGTGTGCACACCCGATTGTAGGGTAGGGTTGACGCTCCGTTATGGACAGGCAAATATTGTTACACCAAACTTGCCCTTCAATAATGTCTAATGATGTTTCCTTTAAGTGACACTTCATTATAAACTTGGGGTTGACGTTGATATCTTACTCCACGACCTCGTACTATAAATAGGGAACTTAGAATAGCTTCAATTTATTCAAATTATTTATTGATCTTCTCTTATTACCTTGTCAAATTGTTTATTCATCATCATGATCAGTCTTAAGAAGTTTGATATGAGTCTCCCTAAGGTCATCACAGATTGGGGCTGCTTTCCGCAACGGTCTCTAACGCTATTTCTGCGCATAATCTGACTGGTGCAGATAATGGGTTACCGCAGAAAAAAATGTGCAAATGGATCAAAAAAGTCTTGTGGTCTTTAGACCTTTGATTTTTTAACCACACAAAAAAATAAAACACAGTGTCTATTACACTTTCAAAGTAACATCAAACCCAAAACTGCATGACAGTTCAGCTTTTTTATGAATTCTTATCTTTTTCGCCTCTCGCCGTAACACGATCTGCATCGTCCCAACCTTCTTCATCGCCGGCCATATCACAAATGGCGCGCGTAATCTTCACGAAATGACGTCCCAAATCTGAGTTTATTGTTTCAAACGCTATTATTTAAGAGATTAGATGGGCCCGGAGTGGATCGTGGGGAAATTTCAATTTGCAGACTATATACCCCACATTTTAGAGACACATTTCGCCACTGTTACCCCAAATAGGGTCTTATTGTTTGTTATAATCTAATTTAGTTCTTTACATGAGTGTATGTCGGTAGATTATTGAGGATAGTGCTGATTGAAATGTTCAATTTAATACTGTTTACTAATCCCTTATTCATAGTAATCCTATTAATTATTACAAATCCTAAGACCGCATAAATTGTATTGTCTCTTATGTGTATTTCTTTCTTCCCTGGTTTTGTGTGCTGTAAATTAAAGTTTTTTATTAATAAGTACTATTAATTCGATATTTTGACAATAACATTATAGCACGTTACTTAGATATTTGTATACTTAAACTATTTCGCTTGTAAATATTGCGAAGTCGAATTTCAACTCCATGCATTTTAAAACTCTAACTAAATCCCCATACACTTGAAAACAAATTTCAGCTCGAGCGTTACGAGCGGTACACATAGGTACGCCGCGCAAGCCGAATCCGACGAGTGTTCGTTCAACCGTTTGCGAACAAACTGGGATGTTTATATCGATGACATTTGATTTATTTTGATTCTTGAAATAATCTAACAAAAGCTGCACAAAGTAATTTCGGAGTAATTTCGGAGTAATTTCAAAGTAAGTCCTTTCCAGGTCCTCTTTTCCTGGAAATCACCTATACGGCTAGCAAGAATGATCTTTGAAAAACTTCCAAAACGTGCTATGCTATTTATAATTTTTTAAATGTTAACAAGGAGCTAACCCATTCATTATTCTACAAATTGGGTCCCTAGGTCTAATTTCCTCAACTTATTATAGAAAAAATTAGAATTAGAGCTCACTAAAACAAGAAAAACTTTTGTTTCGTATTTCATTTGAAATTACATGAAAGCTTTTTTAATACAATTGAATAACGAAAAGAACCCGTTAAACTTTTGACAGTCAGAATACCTAAGACTTTTGGGAATCTTTCATTTCTTTTAAGTAATTCCACGTTATATTGTGATATTTTCACGTTTATTACACCGACAAATCAGAAATGACGGCCATCACTAGGCCAAGTTTGTAGTAACAACCAGCGTGTTTCTGAAGTGAACGACGCGAGCACACAGGGACGGACTAAGTTTTTCCTTTCGAAATTGAAGAAAAATACCTAGGCCTTGGGGGAGGGCTTTATCCAGCAGTGGAAGTCTTTCGGCTGAAACTAACGAACGAACGAACCTTTAAAATAATAATAAATATTGCAATTAGGTACTATTATCCCATCAATCCCCAAGCGGTCGCATATGACCACGTAAAAATTTATTATCTATTGTGTCTCGCTCGATTCGCGGGGCTTGAAGGATTATTTTCAGTAATCTAAATGTAGGGGACGATAATTTTTTCTTGGTATCAAGCTTAGGAACTCGTCTGGAGCCTTTAATGCTGATTACGTTGTCACTAATAAAAAGAACTGCTGGGTTTCTAAATCAAAAGATGAGCATAAAAAATAAAAAATAAAAGTAAGGTTTTGACAAATCCTTTTTCTGGGTTTCAGTTGGAGTGGGAGTAGCGCAAGCTATATTTGGGACGTATTAAAGCGCCCTGGAAAGGGCCTAAGTACTAAATAAATGATTTGATTTGAGAAAAAAGAGGCATTTTGTGAGGTAAAAATACTTGAACTCGTGACGTCAAACCCCAAATCCAGCCCTGTTCTAATAAATTCGTTGAAGGCGTAAACTTCACGCACCAGAAGCAACTTATTTGCCGTTAAATAATTGATACCACGAGCTCGTCAAAGTTTTTCTAGCGTAAAGTACAGACGACAGCACATCAAGCTAAACATTGATATTATATCTTATGTAATTGTAATAAGGTCGAATTTGAAACAAAAATATATGACATGTTGTCTATACGAATAATATCTATGGACAACTTTAAGGCCCCTCGCCCACGGCGACTTTTTGTAGCGATGCAGTAGCGATTCTGTCGCGCGTTCGCATCGATACAGTAGTAATGCGGTCGCTAGCTGTTTGCCCTCGTCCACATAAACGCGCTTCTGTCGCGGCGATGCAAATGCAAAACTGTTGCGTTTCTGTCGCGATTCAAACGCGCGGCACAAAATTACCATGCGATCGCTCCATCCTCCCCCCACTTTCTTCCCGATATTGTTTGAGCCTCAGGTCTTGAATAATAACGCGAGTGGACTGTATTAAAGTTATTATAATTTCTGTATATAAACGAAGCCACAACAACAGGTTATTAATGAAATTACTATGCGTAAGTATGAGTGTCGTGCGCGCCGCTCGGTGGCCAAGTGTGGGATCGCCTTCACGCGCCGCCGTCGTCGCTCCCGGCACCTTTCACTGCGTCGCCCGCTCCAAGGCCAGTTGCCCGGGCGCGAACATCCTCCCGCCCCTTGACCTCTTCAAAGGGAAGAGGGCAAATGTTGTTGAACCCTCTTGTGACGTTGCCTCTCCTCGTTTTTAGTTCGGCGACTCTGGTAACGCCGTCGGGTCCAGGATAGGTGCGCACCACGCGACCCAAGGCCCAAACTAACGGTGGTAGCGCCTTGTCCCGAAGAAGCACGAGCATTCCTTCAGTGAGCTGGCCAGAAGAAGTGGACCACTTGGTTTTTTGCTGAAGCAAGGAAATGTACTCATGAGAAAATCTCTGCCAGAAGTGCTGTCGGATGTATTCAATCCTCTTGAATCGGTCAAAGCAGCTGATGTTCTTCTCAGGGATCTGCGGACACGGTACAGACGTAAGTGGTCGTCCAATTAAAAAATGGGAAGGAGTGAGAGCAGAAAAATCGGAAGGATCGGTGGATAGAGGAGTTAGTGGACGAGAATTCAAAACGGCCTCGATCTGACACAGACAGGTTGCTAACTCTTCATATGTGAAGTTAGTGAGACTCAACAACCTCCTCAAATGGTGCTTGGTAGAGCGAACCGCGGCTTCGGCCATTGCGTTGAAATGAGGTGAATATGGCGGTGAGAATGAGAAGCTGATGCCTTCACGAGACATCTCACATGCAACATCAGAAGATGAGTCGGTTAAGAATTTTTGTAGCTCATTATGGGCTCCGACAAAATTCGTGCCGTTGTCAGACAAGATGCTTTGCGGTTTGCCGCGGCGAGAAACGAAACGATTAAGTGCTGCGATGAAGCCCTCTTTTGTGAGGTCAGTGACGGGCTCTAGATGCACTGCTCTAGTTGCGTGACAAACGAAGATGCATAGGTATGATTTTGTGAGCTTACAACCCCGACCTTTACGGTCTGCTATGAGTACAGGACCAGCATAATCAACACTGCAATCAAAAAAGGGATATTCTAAGTTAGTTCTTGATAAAGGCAGCTGTCCCATTATAGGTTGTATATTTTGGCATTTAAATCTAAAACATTTGACACATTGTCTGACAATTGACCTAGCAAGATTCCTGCCACCTAAAGTCCAATAGTTAAGACGCAAATTTGCCAGTAAAAGTTGAGGCCCTGCATGAAGCATTTTCAAATGTTGCACATGAAATAGCATTTTAGTTAAGTGGTGTTTACTACAAAGCAGTATTGGGTATTTAATATTGTAGTCGTAAGGAGAATTATCGAGTCTACCGCCCACTCGTACGACCTTTTCAGAGTCCAGAAATGGCGTTAATGAAATAAGTCTATTTTTACGCGGTAGAGATCTTTCCGACTCCAAAATATTTAGTTCCTCCGGAAACATCTCTCTTTGTGCGCTGCGTAGTAAACACATCAATGAATCGTTTAACTCATCGCTAGAAAGAGCGCCGTGTAGTTTAGAGTTTTTATTTTTTAAATTGTAAATAAACCTTTTAATATAGGCTAAGACTCTTTGTAAGCGATTGAAATTAGAATGATAGTGAATTAATGATTGTATGATGGTTGGTGATTGATTAGCGTTAGATGATTGATTATTATTATAAATAAAGTGTGAAATGATTTCACGCAAATCTTGTTTCACGCTATTTGTCGGCATAGTAGGCCAGTCCTGTTCATCATTTTGTAAATAGCTTGGGCTTGACCACCACAGAGTATTATCACCGATAGTGTCAGCCTTCGCCCCGCGAGAAAGAAGATCCGCCGGATTATCTTTCGACGGTACATACCTCCACATGTGACCGGCAGAACTCNTGTACAACAGGTGACTCATCATTTAAGGCTATATCCATTTCTGTTACATGTGTGCAACCTAATTCAGACAGATTTTGGGCAAAACATATTCTATATTTGTTAATAAGTTTAACTACAGAATCAATTTGTGACATAGAAAGTTCGTCATTGATATTAATTTCTTTTAGGTCAATCGGTGGAAGATTAGCATTATCAGAAATTCTGTTACATTTAATTATTTTGGCATTATGTCCAGTATCACCATCGATAATGGTATTAGCTCGCACTAGCACAGAGCCTTCCAATAACTTGAGAGAATTTTTAGAAAAATTTTGTACCCCAATTTTACATTTGCCCTCACACAAACTATAAACACCGCCTAAAATCTGATAGTCCGCAGTTCCTGTGTTTCGAGCACTACCTTCTACTAATATGTCACATGTACAATTATTTATATTCATACAGTCAACGAATTGTATATGATCGACAGTAGTATGTGCTGATATTCTCAACACTACTTTATCTTGGACGTCATTATCAATTGGTAAATGGGAAAATTCAAGTGACCCGTTTCGTTTGAGTATATCAAGCTGATCGGTAGTTTTAATGACCAAAACTTCCGGCCTCTCTGTGAAGTTTTGTCCTATCAATAATGGCTCGTCCATCATAGAAGGCTCAACTACATACGCGTCAATTTGTGCGGCAACTTCCCCGAGTAACACTTTAATTTGCGTCCTACCTAATGGTGTATAAACATGATTGCCAAATCCACGAATTGTAGGTATGTTATCATTGAATATGGGTAGGGAATACTGTTCAACGACCGTTTTACTAATAAGCGTACAATCGCTCCCAAAATCTATATAACATTGCATTTCGATAACGTCATTAATAAGTGCTCTCTTACAAAACTTGCTATCTGTTTTATTCGCTCTAGTCAACATAGTTCTTTTCTCACCAGGTTTAGAATTACCATGAGATTTATTTTCAGAAAAATCTTTTGATTTATTGTTAAAACAATCATTAGACTTATGGCCAAAGCGGCGACAGATGTCGCATGTTATAATGGGTTTACTACATCTGTGAAACGTGTGACCTTTCTCTTTGCAATTATAGCAAGTGATTTCCGATGCAATATTGCGGCATTGCGCACCTCGATGCCCTGGTTTATTGCATTTATTGCATATTATATCCTTAGAGTTTGTAAAATTACTTTTTTGTCGATTAAATCGGTGATCAGATTCTCTACCCAAATCCTTCAGAAATTTAAGAACATCTTCAGGGTCATTTAACTTAGCTGAAGAAGCGCTGGACCTAATCATTCGATCATCAATTCCGTATATTAAGCAGTCGACTGCTTTTTTGCCTCTAATTTCACATGCATTTAATAGAGTTATTTTTTCAAAGTAATAATCATCCACTGACTCCCCTACTCTCATTCTACGGTCTAACATGTCCGATAATAAAGCTCCATAATTGGACTCCGATGGAAAAGCTCTTATTAAACGTTCTTGCCATTCAGGCCAAGTTAAAAGTATCGTTTGCAAACCCTGATACCATTTTTGAGCATGACCAGTCAGTTTAGGCAGGGCAAAATGAGAGGTTTGCTCATCAGACCAATTGTATATTTTCGCGCACTCGTTAACCTTAGCAATCCAACTCTCGATTTTCTGATTTTTTTCAGTAGGATCAAAATTAGGAATAATGTTTTTATCATATGAAATGCCATGAGTAGGTTTTAACATATTCTGTAGTAATAAAGCAAAATCGTTAGCATTAATTGTAACGGTATTTACAGAATTCGCCGAAATATTATGTTCACTATGACGGGGAAATGAAGATAATGTAATAGGCTCACGGTTCGTCTGAGTGGAGTGTTGTTCCTCCGCAGGTACAGGCTCCGCAGTCGCCAATGGTGTTCTCGATCTGGATCCACTAGGTGGCAGTAGCTCTGACACGTGGCTTGATGTAGTAGCAGGACATGGATCAGCTTCAGAACTCTGAAATATTTTATTTCAGAGTATCATTATTCAAATAAAACATAAATATCAAAACTTTGTAAAGAATAAGGAAAAGCATGTATGTAGCAAATAAGCTTAGAGTCGGAACACATAAAAAGTTTAATACACTGAAAGTAATTCTGTCTAAGAACCTCCACGCTAACATCTCTATTGGGTATACATAATATACCTATATTGTCACAAATAGTAATAAATAGTAAATAAATTATTATATTTGATTTCCATGTATCTTAAACGAATTTGTTAGTAAAAAGATTTTATTTAACTATCAATAATTATGACTGAATAGTAGGCAGCTAGTATACCTAATATGTACCAATTTATGTAGCATTCAAGGATAAATAAATAGTTTTAGTATTAAATACAGTGGACATTAATAGCATTAAACAAAAGCACTGACTGGAAGTAACTAAAAAAATACTAGTCAAGGTTATTTCTTTTCTTAAAAAAAAAACAATATAATGCAAGCTTTTACAAGGGTAATTAATCAGACAAAGGAATGAAAGAACAAGAAAGAGAAAAAATGGAGAAGAAAAAAAATAATAATAATACCGGAATATAAATAATATACTAGTATGCATGCGTACTAACGAAAAAATTGAAAATACGTATTAGGTACATAATATTCTAGGTCTATTATTCGTAAATATGTGAATTTTCACTTGCCTGATTGGTTATAACGATGCTGCTCCCATCATTAGAAGTCCGCTTTGTTAACAATTCTGACGATGTTCTTCCATCCAAGGATTTCCCAGAACTTCTTGACCTTGCAGACTTTCGGCTGCGCTTATGCTTTCTCAGGCGTTTTCTTTCCTTTCTTCGAAGTTTGTCTTCTGACTCAGAAGAACTGTCGTGTCTATGTGGCCGTTTACTACGGCGCGATCGCGTTCGACTTCGCGACCTATGACGGTGGTCTTCATCATCAGTACCCATTTGTGTAGGTGTGATTTTCTATCCCGCTTCTGATAATAACTTCCAGGCGGTAAATGATAGACGAGCAGCACTTTCACACTTTTATTGATTACAAAAATCACAGCGAGCAAGAGCTCCGATCAGTTCGATGTCTTATTTCCGACTGACGCTCCGACATTGATTTCCAGTATAAGTCGATCAAAACAAGTTCACAGTGGTGGGGAAAACGGAAACGTTAAACACCACCTGATGTTTTGAGAGACTTATTGATTTTACATTTAATTAATAATTTTGTAGACATATTTATAAAATAGTAAACGATGTAAAATAATTATTCATGCTTATTAAAATACAATATAAAATTTATAACAAGTTTATTATTTAACAAGTATAAGTCGATCAAAACAAGTTCACAGTGGTGGGGAAAACGGAAATGTCTTGAAACACCACATGATGTTTTGAGCGACTTATTGACATCATATTTTATTAATTAATTTTGAGAAATACATTTAAAATAGGAAATGAATTAAAATAATCAATCATGCTTATTAAAATAGAATATTTAATTTATAACGTGTCTTATCTAACATGATTTCACGCAAATCTTGTTTCACGCTATTTGTCGGCATAGTAGGCCAGTCCTGTTCATCATTTTGTAAATAGCTTGGGCCTGACCACCACAGAATATTATCACCGATAGTGTCAGCCTTCGCCCCGCGAGAAAGAAGATCCGCCGGATTATCTTTCGACGGTACATACCTCCACATGTGACCGGCAGAACTCTCAACAATTTCGTTGACTCGATTACGCACAAAGGGTTTGAGCTGATTCGAAGGAGTATTCAGCCAACCGAGTACGATCATCGAGTCGCACCAAAAGAAGCATTGTTGGATTGGCATTGTCAGTGACTCAAGAACGGTTGTACACAGTCTTGACCCCAATAGTGCGGCACAAAGTTCAAGCCGTGGGATCGTAACGGATTTAATCGGTGCTACACGGTTCCTGGACAGAAGGAGACGAACTGTGATAGAGCCAGTTTGACTAATGGATCGAATATATACACATGCGCCATAAGCCCTCTCGGATGCATCAGAGAAAACGTGAATTTCATGGTTCACAGCCGATTCGAAAGAAACCCAGCGGTGAATTTTTAGATTATTTAAATAAGGAAGCGTTGACACAAACATTCTCCACATATTGTCAATCTCCAGAGAAACTTTACTGTCCCACTCACATTTATCAATCCAAAGTCTTTGCATTATTGTTTTTGCTTCGACAATACAAGGGCCGACTAATCCTAGGGGATCGAATATTTGGCTAATTACTGACAAAATGTGTCGTTTTGTGACCTTTTCTACATGGTCAATATTTATTGAAAACGACAAGTCGTCTGAGTTGCATAGCCAGTTCAAACCTAAGGTTTTAGATGGGGTGTTGTGGTCTGAAAGATTTAAAAAGGTGGGACTTTCCTGATTAGAATCCCCTAAAATGGCCTTTAGAATATCTGGGCTGTTAGATTGCCATTTTCTTAAATAAAAATGAGCTGAGGACAGAATGTTTGTGACCTCTTTGACGAGTGCTATTGTCTCAGGTATAGATGCACCCCCACCTAAATAGTCATCAACATAGAAGTCTCGTGCTATTGCGGACCTCACATCTTCAGTAGAGGCTGCGTCCGCCAGGCTAACCAAGCATTTGGTAGCTAAGTAAGGAGCTGACGCAGTTCCATACGTGACCGTGTTGAGACTATATGTTTTAAGTGGCTTTTTTGGGTCATTGCGAAAAATAATTTGAAGAAGAGGTCTTTGCGACGTTGCTATTTCGATGCAGCGATACATTTTTTCAACATCCCCAGAAACAACGTATTTATGCTGCCGAAACCGCAGCAAGATCGACAAGAGGTCCTCTTGAACCTTGGGGCCTACCATTTGAAGGTCGTTGAGTGAGAGGCCTGAGGATGATGGAGCTGAAGCATCGAATACGCTTCTTAATTTAGTAGTAGTGCTTGACTCTCTTATTACACCATGATGTGGTATGAAGTATTCAACGTGACCTGAATGTGGTGTTGTAATGTTGACATTTTCAGTCATGTGACCAAGGCGTTCGTATTCATTCATGAATTCAACGTATGTAGCCTTGTAGTCAGGATCACGTTGAAAACGCCGCTCTAAAGACAGAAATCGATGCTTTGCCATAGTGTATGATTCCCCTAAAACTGTAGGATCATCTTTTAAGGGCATCGTAACAGTAAATTTGCCATCCTTGTTCCTACATGTGTTCTGGGTGAAGCTTAACTCGCACGCTCTTTCTTCTGGGGATAGTGAGTGTTTTGGAGGAACCGAGTCGAGTTCCCAGAATTTAGACAGGTTTGGAGTATCACTGGGATTGGCAAAGTTACAAAAATGTGAGTGTCGAGTGGTGTGAAATGAAGGTCCCCTGAAGACTGGACCAGATACGATCCATCCGAACTTTGTCTCACATAACTTAGGCATTTGTTTGCCCAAATCAATAGAAGCGGAGCCTACTACACTCCAGAATATTTCAGCCCCAAGTAGAATGTCAATTACAGACGGAATATTAAATGTAGGGTCAGCTAAGTGAAGGCTTGACGGAATAGGAATATTCTCTATATTGACAAAAGAAGTGGGTAAAACCTTTGTTACTTCTGGTAAAATTAGGCAGTCCAAATCAACTGTATAGTCACCGTTGGAAGACTCAATATTGAGATGGCAAGACTGTGTACTATAAGAAGATTGATGATTGATACCTGTCACAGTGGAGGCTGCATTGCGTCGTGACAAACCCAGTTTTGTGCAGAGGCTCTCGGTAATGAAGTTCGCCGTGCTGCCGTTGTCGAGCAGTACCCGAGCGTTGAGCTTTTCGCCGTTGTGGCTCACCACCTTCACAATAGCTGTGGACAGCAAAACATTGGGTGCGCTAGTAGGCTGTTTTGTTGTATCTGCAGATAAAGCAACACTAGTAGAAGTAGATGGCATGGGGTCTTGATATGTCTGCTCAGTCGGCTCAATGTGCAAAAGCGTATTGTGTCTGGCCTTGCAATATTTACATCCTGACAATCTACATTTTTGTGTGGTATGACTTGAGCGTAAACAATTTAGACAGACTTTAAATTCTTTTGCCTTTTGTAATCGTGATTCAACAGATAAAACTCTAAATGACTCGCAAGTATAAAGCAAATGATCATTTGAGCATAAAGGACATTTTGATATTTTGTTATTTAGGTTAGTGTTATTTTGTAAATTATTATTTTGTAGATTTTTATTTTGTAAGTTATTATTGCTTGTATGTTCCCCAATATTAGTTACAATAAAGCTTTTTTGTTTAGTGTTATTATTTTGTGTGTTTAATTTAGCTTGATTATTTTCTAAAGTTTCTAATAAATCAGCTCTGTTAGATATGAAGGTACAAAACTGCGTTAGAGTTGGAGAACCCGACAGAGTATTGCGATACTCCTCCCAATGCCTACTAGTAGTGAAATCAAGCTTTCTAGATATCATAAATATAATGAGAGTATCCCAGTGCTCAGTAGGTTCCTTTAATGTTTTAAGTGCCCGTATGTTTTTGTTAACAGTGTCAATAAGCTGGCGCAACAATAAAGATGATTCTTTAGTCAGCGTTTCTACATCAAACAAAGCCTGTACATGGTTATTTACTAAGAGTCTACTGTTATTGTATCGTTCACACAACAAGTCCCAAGCCATTGCGTAATTATCACCCTTAAAATCTATATTTTTTATTATCTCCGATGCTTGGCCTTCAAGTGACGCACGGAGGTAGTGGAACTTGTTGATGTCATCGATGCAATCGCTGTTATGAATTAATGAGCAGAAGGTGTCTCTAAACTCTAACCAATACTCATAGCTACCATTAAAGTGTGGCAAATCAATTTTAGGTAAGCGCACAAAATTATTTTTAAACGATGCACCTGATTTGGAGCCCGCATCAGAACAGAACCCGCCTCCGAGCGAGCACGCTCAGCAGAGCACACAGCCAATGCTTTGCGCGCTCGAGCCAGCAGGGAGTAGTAACGCTCCTCGAACTGGGCTCGCTCCGCATACTCATCATCANTCATTAGGTATTTGATAATTAAAAAACCTAAATAAACGTTTTAATAAATAAGGAAGTCAGAACCTTATTAATTTTATAAAGATTAAGAGTGCCAACCCTAACACTCAGTTGAAGTGTAGGTATTTAACTCGCCGAAAGGGCTAAGTTTCCGTACTGCTTTAGCTCATATATCTACTGTGAAAGAACCGAGCAAATAAAAGTGAAAGCGTAGGCGCAGGTATCGAGACGGGTCGTTGGCCTTGATTACGTAAGCCGTGCGAAAAAAATGAATAGAAGACAAGACTAAGTATAGATTAAAGTGCAACTGTGCAATATTTATATTGATTTGACAATCAAAACTGTCTGGTCAAATTAGAAGCGAAGAATGCGACAGTATGAGTAGAAATGGAAATGGGAAAATAATATTATCAAACACTGATATTANTTTTGTACATAAAAGTGCGTTCAAAAAGTTTTCAAAATGTGTTGATTTTGCTTTCATGCTACTACGCTTTTTTATTAATTTGTCTAATGACATTTTGAATGTGATTAAAAGGTATTTAAATAAGAAGTTGTGATAATGATAACCGATGCAATAAAGTAATAAAATTGAATGGCCTATTCAGAATAATGCACAGCTGTTTGATAACAAAGAACCTAAGCAAATAAAAGTGAAAGCGTAGGCGCAGGTATCGATACGGGTCGTTGGCCTTGATTACGTAAGCCGTGCGAAAAAATGAATGGAAGTATAAATTAAAGTGCAACTGTGCAATATTTATATGGATTTGACAATCAAAACTGTCTGGTCAAATTAGAAGCGAAGAATGCGATAGTATGAGTAGAAATGGAAATGGGAAAATAATATTATCAAACACTGATATTAATAATAATTAATTAAAATGTTGGATGGGAAAGGAAAAAATTGGAACGAACTCACGGATGTCTTTAACCTTCCGTCCATAAATTGATGAGAACGATGACTTGTCACAGCGGTCGACACGTCGAGTCCAAAGTTCAACCAAGTTGTCACGATGGCTTGTAGGTTTCTTCTGTGCTTCTTTTACGGTAGAAGGACCAATGTTTGAGCCTCAGGTCTTGAATAATAACGCGAGTGGACTGTATTAAAGTTATTATAATTTCTGTATATAAACGAAGCCACAACAACAGGTTATTAATGAAATTACTATGCGTAAGTATGAGTGTCGTGCGCGCCGCTCGGTGGCCAAGTGTGGGATCGCCTTCACGCGCCGCCGTCGTCGCTCCCGGCACCTTTCACTGTGTCGCCCGCTCCAAGGCCAGTTGCCCGTCCGACGTTCGCGCGTTTGCAACGATACAGTCGCGATGCTGTAGCGCGTTAGTCATCATCATCATCATCATTTCAGCCATAGGACGTCCACAGCTGAACATAGGCCTCCTCCAATGCTTTCCATGTTGATTGTTTGGTAGCGGCCTGCATTCAGCACTTCCCTGCTACCTTTATGATGTAGTCTGTCCACCTTGTAAGTGGAAATCCCGGAAAACGCGCGTTAGTAGCGCGTTGCAAATGCGACTAACGCGCGTTAGTTGCGATACTACAAAAAGTCACCGTGGGCGACGGCTCTAACTACTTACGATATTGGTACCACGAAACTAAAACCTATTATGTATGGCAAGTAAAGTGTAATTACATAATTATTTTTCGAGGGAAACCGAAAATTTTACACGATTTCACGTAAGGAAATAAGCAGGTAGATTCTTCCAATCACACTTTAGTTTCTTGTTAATTGGTAGGTATTTTGTTTCTAAACTAAGAATTTCTTAATTGTAAGTATGGACTAAAAACCTGAGAACTTGTAAAACTTTTGAAAATTGTCGAACAAATAAAGAAACCTTTATTTCTCAGAGGTTAGGAATATTCTAAATATACGTCATAAATATGTATTGTTTGTAAGTACAAAGCAAACCCTAGAGCTCGTTTCTATTTAATTCACACGCATTTATAGAATCGAACTGTGATTCTGTGTATTAGCTAGAAATAGAAAAGTTATTTCGGGGTTTAATTTATTTTGGTTACATTGTCAATTTTGACATTAAATAATAAAATACAATAAGTATTGATCGGAATATTCAGACCCAGATTACAATACACAGTCAGATTTAATGAGATGTTATAAAAGTATCTGGACATAGTTCAAAGATAAGATAACATTATGATAAGAAAAACTTAATTCTGCATATAACAAAACAAAAGTTGAAGTACATAAACTTTTCTTAAAAATAAGCTATGCTGAAGAGACCCGCTCAGCAAAAATCGTGACATGACACAAACTTCATGTCGAGAAGCTGGTTTTCAACCGGACCAACAACCAACAAGCGGGACCAATGGCTTAATGTGCCCTCCCAAGCACAAAATGGCGGATAAGTCATTAACCGACTCATGAATTTTTTTTATCCACAACAAGGAAGTTCTTGGCCTGTATCTCACCTGATGGTAAGTGATGATCAGGCCGAAGGTGGAAGCGAGCTTCACTCGGAATCCTCAACTACGGTGGAGGAACTGGCTATCTTACCTCTAACTGCCGGAACACAACAATGCTGTTGTTGTTATGACGACAGACTTAGGTAATATTTAAATGATGTTATTGAAATAAGATTACTCGAAGTAAAGGTTTCCGTAAATAATTACCAATCATTCTTCCACTTACACGAATGGAACTTAACTGAACTTTCAAGGGTCGTAAGCAATTTCACTTCGACAAGTTCTCGTGACGCCACCTGATTGAGATTAGATTTCGCATTCCCTTATTGATTCCGAGTTGTGAACTGTTATGACGGATTTATTTTTCACAATCACTTTCTGGTGAAGAGTTATGAGTTTTTATGCAAAGATTATTGTGTACAAATCGGAGTGTCGTAGGCGTTTTCGAGTGGCGACCACGGACTGGAAGACGTAGCGTGGGCAGGCCTCCTACTAGGTGGACCGACGATCTGGTAAAGGTCGCGGGAAGAGCCTGGATGCGGGCAGCGCAGGACCGTTCATTATGGAAAACCTTGGGGAGGCCTTTGTCCAGCAGTGGACGTCATTTGGCTGAAACGACGACGAGGCGTACCTAAGTAATAAATGGTTTACTTAGGCTGGGTTGCACCATGTTACAATAACTTTAACAATAGTCAGAAATCTGTCAAACTCCATACAAAACACTGGTTATCGTTATACTCGTAGTTACTGTTAAAGTTCGGTGGTGCAACTCAGCCGTAATATTCTTATCAATTTAATATAAATAATAGTAATAATTCTAATAGTATGAAACTTATTAATCCAACTTATAATTTAAATAGAAGGAGTTACTTCATATTTAGCAGAGAGCTATCGTAGTTTATTACAAGTTCGTACCCACTAAATTGTTTGTCTACCTAGTTTTGTATTTCAAAGCAACAACTAACCAAATCCAAAAATATTTATTTTCCAGTGTTTCATGTCCAGTATTTCACAAGTCCATTTCGGATTATGTCTGCTAAAATACTTAATAAAGTATACAAAAATATAAAATAAATAAATGTTTTACTATGCTAGCACCTGCGTCGAAGGGTTCGACTTGTGCCCACCTGACTGTTTTAGCATTTTATTAAAATCTACAGCTTGATCCCTAAGCTCATGCTGTCTGATGTTTTCGTAAATTATTGATACTTTTGGCTGAAAGCTGGTCTAAATAG